GGATTGGTTCAAGATTAGATCTTTGATGTTTTTGATGGGTTCTTCCTCCTGGTTTTTTCTACCAAGAACGGAGGAAACTCGACAGGGAGATGATTCCGCTTCTTGGAAGGCATGTTCAGCAACTTCTTGGACAGCCTTCCTTTTTTTGTGGGTGTTTTTTCTTTTCTTTTATTTTCTGCTGTGGAATTTCTTCGATCTCTCCACCCTGACGAGAGAGTTCAAGCACAGCAAGTCTCTCGAGTTGGAATTACGAGGGTTCTAATCTGTTTCTTCTCTTGGTTTCTGCCATATTTGACTTCTTGGGGGTCGTTTCGTGGTCAAAACTGGAATTTTTAAGACATCTAGCGAAATATCAGGAGCGAATTCAAATAATAATGTCTTGCCTTTTGTAGATCCGCGTGGCTCGTAATGCTACATGTTCATATCGCTGCCTGTTTCTTCGATTTCTGACAAAAAAAGCGTTCGTGTTCTGACAAAATTTCGGTTTGGTTTTTCTACAGTAGAACGTCAGCAATGGAGAACATGAGATCTGAGAACTTTAACCAAGGTACCAACTTTATCCGCATCTGGAATTCAGGCTTGTTCTGTGTGGCCTTTGTTTGCTGCTCTAACATGTAAATTTGGGCGAAGGTGTTTCAATGGAGGGCGTCAAGCATGCGCCCGAGATGGCAAACACCAACAGGAGGGCTCTGCGGGACATCAAGAACATCATCGGAGCACCTCACCAGCACATGGCTGTGAGCAAGAGGGGTTTGCTAGAGTAATTCCGCCGAGCCTTTGTTTCAACTTTGATTTCTAATCTGCTTTTACAGTTTCTCTAATGGGTCTGAATTTCTTGACATGCTTCAGTAAACCTGCCGCTAAGAACCAAGCTGGACACCGTCCTATGACGAGGTTTGAGCTGTTCTTGATCTTACCGTTCTGTACTGAATTAAGTGAAATGTTTTGTGATAAGTTTGATTTTTTGACAGGAAATTTGCTGCAACACTGGCAAACCAACCCTCCAGTGCTCCCCTGGTAATTACTCATGAAAGCCATATTAAAGTTGTTGCTATATTGATACTGCTGCTGTTCTGATATGTCAACTTCCCCATCATATATCCAATGCTTTCCTAATTGTTCTTTAGGTTTGCTGTTGTTTTGATATGCTCTGAAAATGCTGTGCTCTTTCTATTTGATTTTGTTTAACTTTGAATTAGTACATGTGGTTATTCAGATTTACATGCAGAAACTCGAAATGGTAAATCGGAAAGTTGCAAATGAGATATTAATGTTGCCTGTACACTGCATCTTCTAATTTAATCCAGTGATGTAGAATTTAGTTCGAATGACAGCTCTAGGACTTAACGCCTACAGTTTTCTGACTTCTATTTACATATTCCATAACTAGTAAATTTACAGATGCATAGCAGAACAACAATTCTGTGAGCTGCTTTGAACAAATACTAGTAGTCTGAAGAAGCTGTCTTTATTGTGGCAGGCACCCATTGGAAGTGAGAGGCAAAAAAGGACAGCAGATTCTGCATTTCATGGTCCAGCAGATATGGAGTGCACCAAGATCACATCTGATGATTTGCCATTGCCAATGATGTCTGAGATGGACGAAGTGGTAAATGACATGATATACTTGGAATGCATTATTTAGCAATTAGCACTTGGTAGGTAGGATTCATCACTAATCAGCAGTCCAACTTGTTATTTCAGATGGGTTCTGAACTGAAAGAAATTGAGATGGAAGACATTGAGGAGGCAGCACCTGATATTGACAGCTGTGATGCAAATAACTCCCTTGCAGTAGTTGAATATGTTGATGAAATTTACAGCTTCTACAGGAGGAGTGAGGTAACTTTTTTGTGGAACCTGAGAAGTTGTTTTGATGTGTTACCTGGGTAATCAATCTCATTGCAAATTCTGTGTGCACAGGGTTTGAGCTGTGTCTCTCCTAATTACATGTTGAGCCAAAATGACATAAATGAGAAGATGCGCGGCATTCTCATCGATTGGCTGATAGAGGCAAGTATTTCATTCAGCATATTCATCATGTGGTTTGGGAATTCTTAGTTTCTGACAATAACTTGACCAATGCAGGTGCATTACAAGTTAGAGCTATTGGATGAGACCCTCTTCCTTACTGTGAATATCATAGACCGATTCTTGGCTCGCGAAAATGTGGTGCGAAAGAAGCTTCAGTTGGTTGGCGTGACTGCCATGCTGCTCGCCTGCAAGTATGAAGAAGTGAGCGTTCCTGTAGTGGAGGATCTTATCCTAATCTGCGACCGCGCCTACACAAGAACAGATATTCTCGAAATGGTAAGAAGAATACTGTACCTGTTTTTTTCCAGAGCGATCGATATATGTTCAGAGAAGTGAAAGTGTCATTTGTATTTGTGCAGGAGAGGATGATTGTAAACACTCTTCAGTTTGATATGTCAGTTCCAACTCCATACTGTTTCATGAGAAGGTTCCTCAAGGCTGCACAATCTGACAAGAAGGTAGGACAAAAACACACTGGTGCATCCATCTTTGTATTGATATACAGTAGCTTTGCTATGTGAGTGCATTGTCTGACCCAAGTGCCTACTGAAACAGCTTGAGCTCATGTCTTTCTTCATAATTGAGCTGAGCCTTGTCGAGTATGAGATGCTCAAATTCCAGCCGTCAATGCTGGCGGCTGCTGCCATCTACACTGCTCAGTGCACCATTAATGGGTTCAAGTCCTGGAACAAATGCTGTGAGCTGCATACAAAATACTCTGAAGAACAGCTGATGTACCAAAACTGTCCCCAATTCCTGCATTTCAGTACCATATAAACTAAAACTGTCCTCTTGTACTGACAGTTATTTTGTTATCTTTGCCTTGCAGGGAGTGCTCCAAGATGATGGTTGAGCTCCACCAAAAAGCAGGACATGGGAAGCTTACTGGAGTTCATAGAAAGTACAGCACATTTAGGTATGGTTGCGCCGCAAAATCGGAGCCCGCCGTCTTCTTGCTCAAGAGCGTGGCACTGTAACTGATTGGCTCACTATACACACTCTAACTACTTCCATGGAAAGAGGGAATGAGGGGTGTATATATAGAGGCCGGCTGCTTTGATGAAATTACAGAGAAGAGATCTGCATATATGCAACAGCTGTTGCAAAGGATTATTTGATGGGTGGGTTGGGTTGGTGCAATGTGTGCCTTTACTTCCAATAACTTAACATCGTCGAGACATTGATCTGCGTTTGGATGTTTTAGGTTGCTTCCAATTAAATCTGTTGGAACTTGATTTCATGTTGTATTTAAGAGAATTATTCTTCATTTGTTCTGTGGCACATGCAATTTGCCAATAAACATTAATTGAATTGCCTGTTCAATCATCTTGAGTTGAGTCTACCTCTACTGTGGTCTGTGCCATTTTACCATGTTTTTGGTTATGTTCTATGAGTAAACTTCTCTTTGCACCAGTTTGTTAGAGAAATTCAATTCTGAACTCTTTGTGCCCAAAATTTGCCTTGCTTTTGGCTTGGAGAAAGCTGCTTGAGGTTGAAGCAGGCATGGTTTTCAATTGATGACAATATGCAGTGTTGTCAATTGGATTCACATAAAATGCTCCACTATATTCTACCGATGCTCAGATTTGCACTAAAAATGATTGGGGGTACTTTTCTTGATTCAATGTGGAGCATAACAAACCTGAACATTTTCCTAAGCTCTAGACAGTTGAAACCCAGAACAGTAACTTGAGGAGTTTAGGACACAATTTTGTTGGTGTATCCTGATGAGTTTGAATGTCTGATCAACCAGAAAAGGCAGGAAAACATATGAAGTTTGGCAGAAGCACTTTCATTTTGCAAAACTTTCTGACCATTTGCCGATCAGTGTAATGAACTGAATGAAGCGGCCTGACGCCTGTTGGTGTTTTTATGGGACTTGTAATAACTGTATTAGTTCCTGAACTGAAGTATGTGAATGAGCTCTGAAGTTGACTATCCGGTATAGCTGACATTCGGTACACGCACTTTGCCAGAAGAACTGATATGATGGGATAAGTTAACTGCGGATCTGATTACTTTTCTTTAATGTGATAAACAATCCAATCCAATGGATAATCTGATTAATTTTCTGTCATAATTCATAAATGGCCATGGCTATGAGAAAAGAAAAACAAGAAGATGAATGAGAGAACTGGAGAGTTCTGGAACAGGCCATCAGATTTAGGTAAGAGAACGAAAGGTACAGTACAATTAGGCCAATTTATTAAAGGGAAAAAAAAACACGGCACAACACGAGTTAATAAACAATACTTGGATCGATTAATCTCCGTCTCCCCAAGCAATCGTCGCCGGAGGGGAACGCCCCTCCACTCCAATCGCCGCGGCTGCGCCAGTCCAACGCCGGTCAGGAATTATATCTCTCTCTTGATTTATTAACACCTTTCTCTGATTTTTTTTGTTTTGTACTACTAGTACTGTGAAGTTTCTAGTTTCTTGTTTTCAGTTTTTTTTTCTTGTCATTTTTTTTCTCTTCAAATTATTCCTTTTGCACTATATTTCAACTTGAATTTTTTGCTTCAGGAATTCATCTTTTTTATTTTTTATTTTAGGCCTTATTTAGTTCCAAACTTTTTCTTCAAACTTCCAATTTTTCCATCACATGAAAATTTTCCTACACATAAACTTTCAACTTTTCCATCACACCGTTTCAATTTTAACCAAACTTCCAATTTTAACATGTACTAAACACACCTTTAATCCCCCTTCATGTTTTTTAAAGATTCAATTTTATATGGCTTGAGCTATCCTATCCTACCGCGGATAGTATTTTCACCTTGAACTCGCAATACTATCCGTGCAGTAAAATAATAATAATCAATCTTAAGTATGAAAGATTCATAGAAAAAATAAGAGTAGATATATAAAATTGTTTCGGTCCCAAACACTCACCAAATTTTTTTATAAGAATATCGTAAAATATATTAGAAAATTCTTATAGTTCAGTTCAAAGTAGTATTAAAATCATCGAACGTATCAGATCGAGAGCACGCTACGCCTACGCGGGAGGGTTCCTCCTCCTCCGCCCCCCATCCATCCAAATCCAATCGCCGTCGTCGATCCCCTCAGCCCTGCTGCCGCCGCCCCCTTTCAGCGCAAATCGTCGATTTCCCCCGCCTCCATCTCCCGCCGCTCGCCGCCGGGACCCCGCACCGCAAATCGTCGTCCTGCCTGCATCTTCGATTCCCTCCGCCGCCCGTGGTTCCGCTCCTTAGCTGCCCATCTTCACATCTCCCTCAAGGTGAATGCTAACTTGAGTGTTGATTGATCGATGGTATTCTTTTTTTTTCTTTTTGGATCTGTGTATTTGCGTGCTGATGATTCACTAGTTTTATTAATAATGTTGATTTATGTTGGCATGACACAAATCATAGCTGTGGAAGTCTTTCAATATGCTTCCGTGTCTTTTCATGCATACATAATCTTGTTGTGACTTTTATAGTCCCCAATTTCACTTCTTTTTAGTTTATGATATTTTATATTAGATAGTTTGAGAAACAAAATTTACCAGTTAAAATGTTTCCAGCTACAAAAAAATACTCAGGTTTCAGATCATTTTTCGAGGTTGGAATTGCTGCAGGATCAAGCGAAGCCTCGTCAGGCCATGCCCTCGTCTCATTCCTCAGCTTGCAGAGTCCAGTTCCAAGCAGGTACAATATACATCCTCCTAACAAATCAATCTCTTTGGTTTTTTTATAAGAAATAAATACTAGTTTGCAGTGTATCAGTGACCCTATATTCCTGCTTATTGGAGTACATACATATCTGATAATTGGCGTGCATCTGTGATCAGTTCCCTAGGTTTAGATCCATTGTGTTCTTTAGATTTAGAATGATCATTGACTATGTGAGCTCTTTTGAACCTGTAGGAACCAAATCTAAAATAATATTCCATGTACACAGTTTTGCCCGAATAAATAAATAACCTGATCCACATATTCTCCATTCTATTTGTCTACTTCACTCTAGTTTTGTCTCATAATATGCATTGTTTCTTATATCCAGGATTGAATCTTCTCGCCCATACAAAACTGAATGTAGGTTCTGCGTATTTCTCGAAAATAGAAAAAAGTATGAATGTGCTAGGCTTGCCTGTTTGATTCATGCATTGTAATTCTTTTCATTGGGAATTCTGCCATTTAAAGTCAAGGATATATGCAGAAATCCCATTAGTGTTTGATTAATATATAGATTATAGAGTGGTACGGTTTGTTCAAATATATCCCTCAACCACTAATGCCCTTCAATTTCATTTCACTTATGCAAATAACAATCAACTTGACATCACCCTCTAAAAGCACGAGGAAATGATGTAGTACAAGCAACAATTGTTTTCATGTTTCCCCTCGTACATCTCATAAGTAGCTCACTCAAACTTTTGCAATAAACAAACTTCTATTCAATAATGCTACAAGAACTGACAATTTGCAATTTTAACATTTACCTGCCACATCTTACTGATATCTTAACAGAAAATTACTTGCCACAGGTAGCAGTTCTTTTCTATTTTGTTGGATCCTTTTTTTACCCCTTTAATAATAATTTTGATGTACATGGAAATTATGCAATCTGAACATATCAAATGTTATACCATGAGTGTTCAGTGCTGAATTTCTGCCCAGAATACATGAAGCTCATATGCTGAATTTTTTATCATCACTATGAATTTATGAAATATGCCCTGTAAAGACTTGAAAGTTCATTGCTGAATTTCCGAGCTTTTACTATTGTTCTAAATTTCCGGAGATGTACTACCAGGATTTGAAAGTTGAGTGTCCCTCACCACATTGCATCTTGTTCTTTAGATACATTTCTTAAACAGAGGAGCAATTAGAACAATCAGATTTATACCATAGGAGCTTCATGTATTCTAGGAAGTGAAAGAAGTTTAAAATCAGATAAAATGGTTTATGACTTGTTCTATGGTTTGGTTCTTTGTAGAGATTTTTTTCTGGAGCTAAATATTCTTAACCATTAAGCTCAACATTTTTTAGCACGCGGTGTTTATTCTGCTCTCTTTCTTTTTGTTTCCACTCATTTTCCAAATATTTATGTGCAAAAAATATATGTTGTGGAATGTTTTACATTTAGATGTGTGCACCTTGTTGCAATTTTTACTTCTTTGTTCAGCCACTAGCTCACAATGTGTTGCATAATTAGAGTTGTGCAGCGCACTTGATATATAGAAATTTATATTGCATTATATTGTGAGAAAGAAAGCTTCTGTACTCGGTTGTTTCACTTTTAATTATCACCGTAGCGTTAGCACGGGCTTGTAACTAGTAAGATAAGGGGAAAAAGTTAGTTAGAGACCTAGATTAGCAAGAAAAAAAAAGGGGGGGGGGACAAGAAAGGAAAGATGGGCCCAGATCAGCATAGACTCCAAAATGTTGGAACCAAGTGCTCTCTTCTCTCATGACGAGATTTCTCACTTCTGAACTTCAATTTCTCGTCACAAATCGCCTGCTAACTACGATTCCGCCCCACCACCTACCCTTCTAGTCTCATCAACAATGATCTAATTATGCAACACATTGTGTGTTGCATAATTAGATCATAAAGCTCCTCTCCAAATATATTCTTCTCCTAACTCCTGCTCCTCTCCAAATTCTAATTAGATCATAATTAGAATGCAACACATTCTTCTCCTAACTCCTGCTCCTCTCCAAATCCCAAATCCCATATTCCAAATCCAGACGCAACTTTGATCGTTGGATTCTTCGGCTTCTTCCTTCTTTTATTCCCTTCACTTCATAAATTGGCTCTCCTCTCTTGCGGCACAAATCTGATCCTCCAGGTTTGTGTTGTTTCAGACCGTAATATCTGTTCTTCGATTCATTGCCCCTCCTTGGGCGGATTCTCCTTTTGCTCCTCAGTGGGGCACTCTATAGGGCTATTAGCAGTAAAATAGATTGGTTTCGATGGAAATTCGGCAGAAATTTGCGTTTTTTTTTTGTTTCTGATTCACGGCGGCATCAAAGTTAGGAGTTTGATTGGAAAGATGCGATTTTTGTTTTGCTTAATTTATGAGCCTCGTTTTCTCCAGATTTAAATTCGGCTGGTACTCCTTTCTATGGAGGGCATGTCCTTGCTGCTGGTCCTTCTGATCTGGGATTTGCCCATAAAAATTTCAGTCTTTTTTGTGCTTGCAGTTGAATACTACCGTGCATTTGGTGGAAGAACATAATCCTACCTCTTGGTGTCTGCCTCCTAATAAAGGACTCCAGTATCAGTTGGGGCTTGTGAATTATGATACTTTATGAACCATATTGTGAAACAGGAGGAGGCTGTCAATATATTGGTAGCTCTAATAGTGGCGTACTTTGAGTAGAATTGAGGGAGACAAGAGAGAACAATGGAATTGGCAGAGCAGCTGTACTCAGTTTTCAGGAGCTATGCGCCCCCTATTTGGGCTTCAATCACCGCTGGCATTTTTGTCATCACCTCGCTTTCACTATCTCTGTTCTTGCTGTTCAATCATCTGTCAGCCTACAAGAACCCAGAGGTGCAATCAACATTTACAATTTGAAGCATTGTGTTCATATATCTGGAGCTGTGTTTGACTTGCTATTTTGGCTCATTGGTGCCATATTTGTGTTCTTTTTACAGGAGCAGAAGTTTCTTGTCGGTGTTATTCTCATGGTCCCATGCTATGCGGTCGAGTCGGTAAGGTGCTATGCTATGTCTTTTTTATAATATTACAATCACAATGTCGGATGAGACAATTTTTTTTTTACTCTGGTAGTAACATTTTATGATTATTGTTTCAGTACATATCATTGGTGAATCCATCAATTAGTGTTGATATTGAGATTCTGCGAGATGGCTACGAGGCATTTGCTATGTACTGTTTTGGGCGGTATCTAGTTGCTTGCTTAGGTACTCCTTTTTCCAGCAATTTCCACTCCAACTGTTATTATCATTACATTAGTCCTTATATGTAATATTTTCATTGCTAGGTGGGGAAGATAGGACAATTGAATTTCTGAAGAGGGAAGGCAGTTCAGGTTCTGATGTACCACTTTTAGACCATGAAACTGGACAACGATATGTGAACCATCCTTTTCCAATGAACTACATGCTGAAACCTTGGCCTCTAGGAGAATGGTTCTACTTGGTTATTAAGTTTGGGCTTGTTCAATATGTACGTGGCTCTTTATTTCCTGTTCTTTTTAATTTTCAAGTGTCTGATGGAAATTCAAACTAATGCATTCTCTTGTTCCTGGGACAGGTGATAATAAAGACAATTTGTGCTATTCTTGCGGTGATTCTTGAATCCTTTGGAGTGTACTGTGAAGGAGAGTTTAAGTGGAACTGTGGGTAAGAGGCATATACACATGAAGGGCGTTTATTTAATTCATTTAAACATTTTGTTCAACATTCCTTGCATAAACTTTTTCTCATTTATGCTGCATTGCTTCCATACAACTTTTGCCTCTAGAGCTTTTTAATCCAGTTAAAAATTATGCTGTTTTTTTTTTCTTTTAAATTATGGATATGCTTGCATGTTTCATTGTGGTATATCACTTCCTGTACCTTTTACTCGATTTCAACTTGTGAGTTCAAGCAACATTCAACATTTATCTGTAAGTTCTACAATTACTTTTCACAGACTACTATAGATTGCCTTGAATAATCTTTTCTCTGGCACAGAGTGTTCTGTGAACTCTTAATAGTTTATTTTCATATGCCTTTCACCGCACGAAAAATATGTTTATACATAACTCAGTTTTATGCATTAGACTGCAAATTTCTTAAACCACGGTTTCAGTGGACAAATGACATGCTAGCATTGGTGAATTAGTTCATGCATCAGTTGCTGTAATCATGAAGCAGTTAAAATGATGTTTCCTTTTCGTTTTTTTATTGTTACTCAGTAAAAAGTAGGAGCACTAGCTTGCTGATGCTGAACTAATAACCCCTATCTACCAGGTACTCTTACACTGCTGTGGTTCTCAATTTTAGTCAGTCATGGGCCTTGTATTGTCTGGTTCAGTTCTATGCTGCCATAAAGGATGAACTAGCCCATATAAAGCCTCTTGCAAAGTTTCTGACATTCAAGTCTATAGTCTTCTTAACATGGTGGCAAGGTGTGGTGATTGCATTGCTGTACAATTGGGGCTTGCTAAGAGGTCCTATTGCTCAAGAGTTGCAGTTCAAGTCCAGTATTCAGGACTTCATTATCTGCATAGAGGTTGTCGATTCCTATTTTACCGTGACAGTGAAGGATTTCCTGTTTATTCATTTAGTCATGCTTGTGTCTTTTTTGTTGTCCATTTGAAACAAACCCTAACTAGTTGTTTTGTCATCCAATACAGATGGGAGTTGCTTCTATTGCCCACCTGTATGTGTTCCCTGCCAAGCCATATGAGATGATGGGTGATCGTTTCATTGGAGGGGTTTCAGTTCTCGGAGACTATGCTTCAGTTGATTGCCCTCTAGATCCAGATGAAGTTAAGGACAGTGAGCGACCAACCAAGACTAGGCTTCCCCAGCCAGGCGATCGTGTCAGATGCTCCACTGGCATAAAAGAAAGTGTTCGTGACGTCGTACTTGGAGGAGGAGAATATGTAAGATAAAGATGCTAGCTCCTCATTGCTGTCTCCCATCAATTTTACTTCAAAATATGTTTCTTACTGTAACATTGACTGAATCTTGCAGATTGTGAATGACCTGAAGTTCACCGTCAATCATGCTGTGGAACCAATCAATGAAAAGCTGCACAGGATATCACAGAACATCAAAAAGCATGAGAAAGAAAAGAAGAAAACAAATGACGATAGCTGCATAAATTCACAACAATCCTTGAGCAGGGTAATCAGCGGTATTGACGATCCTCTCCTGAATGGGAGCTTAAGTGATAATAGTGGTCAGAAGAAATCACGGAAGCATCGCAGGAAATCTGGGTACGGGAGCGCAGAGAGTGGAGGAGAGAGCAGTGATCAAGGATTAGGTGGGTATGAAATCCGAGGGCACAGATGGATTACTAGGGAGTAAGGATTAATGCTCTGAAACATGAATTTCTTGGTCTGGATCTTCCTTGGAGGCTAAATGCTTACTACCACGCAAACAGATGACAGAGACTCGAATTAGGTTGAAACCTAGGATCTCTTTGTGAGGACACTGCAATGCTGCAGATTGAGCTAGCAGATGACATTATCTCCAGGTTGTTCAACTGACATTTCAGATGCTAGGGTCTTGATGATAAACATTGCAGGCATGCATGCATCAAATTGTGAAGCATGGCAGGTTAACTAATTCATGCTTGCATTATCAGTTGTAAAGGACAGTTTTTTCCACAAAAGTATATAAGATTCTGATTTGAGGAAGAAATGTCTTGCAAGCTTTGTTTTTGGTGTTGTCAAGTTTTTGTTATATGTACTTACAGTATATTGTTCATTCTTTCATTCAAATAAATTATAAAGGAGGGCGTCCTTTTACCTCCCTGGCATTAGATGAATGATTTGCACCGTAGGTAAATCCAATCATTGGGATATACCGCATTTGAGTTGAGTTGCGTCAGATCATGACAGAATGATAACTGCTCTGAGCTTGCAATTTCTGTAACATCCCAGTTAACGCAAATACATTTCAAGTGGCTACTTTTTATCAAGAAGACAATAAATTTCAAGCAGATTAAAGTTGAAGAGGAAAATAAATATGCAGTTCTTTTCTTATCTTTTCTTCAAGGTTTCATCCAGATGTCCTTGAATCCTTTTTTTTTTTCTTTTTGACAAGAAAACATATGCCTTTGTGCCGGGAATTAATGGAAAAAGAACCTTAGTTAAGCTGATCACGCGACAGATTTGGCACAATCACGTTGTGCTACATAACACGCATACAAAGTGATTATCCTCCTAGGATGCTATGAGTCACCAAAAGCAACTGATAACAAGACGTGAGAGTAGGCCCTGTTTAGATGGGACTAAAACTTTTAAGTCCCTATCACATCGGATGTTTGAAAATTAATTATAAATATTAAACGTAGACTATTAATAAAACCCATCCATAATCTTGGACTAATTTGCGAGACGAATCTAATGAGCCTAATTAATCCATGATTAGCCTATGTGATGCTACAGTAAACATTCTCTAATTATAGATTAATTAGGCTTAAAAAATTTGTCTCGTGAATTAGCTTTTATTTATGTAATTAGTTTTGTAAGTAGTCTATATTTAATACTCTAAATTAGTGTCTAAAGACAGGGACTAAAGTTAAGTCCCTGGATCTAAACACCACCAAGCTGATCGAGCAACAAATACGTTTTATTCCCCCACTGCTTTAGCTATCAAAAAGGCCACATAATTACACATTTTGACAGAAATCAAAGCTGCTTTTACCTTGTATGCATTTGCTTTACTGACAGCTAACAGCAGCAAGCAACCTCATTTGGATGAAACAAGCAACAGTGTCAGCATAGAAATCTCATTACCTTTCGCTTTTGTCTTGTATTATGATTTACAGGAATTCGGTTTGTATTTATTTGCGTCTGGAAAAAGAAAAGGAAGGAGAGACACGTGAAGGCCCATGGCCAATTGGCCCAAAGGCTCCTGGGCACCTCCTGGCCGTCCACGTGGCAGGTGTCCACGTCAGCACTTTGGCTTTGTTTTCTCCTTTTTTTTTCTCCCAATTTTCACTCCACTGCTGCACAAGCTTTTCCGTGCTTCCTCGCCGCCTCCGGCCTCCGCTCCGGCGCTATAAATCGCCGCCGATTTCGAAGCTGTGGAAATGGGAGTCGCCTCCACGGCCACCGACATCCGCCGCAATGCTGTGTCTCACCTCCTCTTCCTCCTCCGCGCCCGCTCCGCTCCTTCCCTCTCTCGCTGATCGACCGAGCCCGGGAATCGCGGTCAGTCAATATATAGAAACTTCTATATATGATATGATTAGTTTTCCCTCTCTCTCTTGTTTTGTTAGGTGTTTGGGTTATTGATGGTGTGGTGGTCCGCAGGGCGGGGGTGGCAATGTTCGCCTGAGCGTGGTTTCTTCGCCGCGCCGGTCGTGGCCTGGAAAGGTAAGATACTGTTGCAGGATATCTATCGAATTAGGAATTTGATGATGGTGATAATTAATTGTGGGGAAAACAAGTAAGTCTGAATTTCTTTGGCCACAGGCGACAGCCCCAAAACCCCGACACCCCACCGCCGACCACCTCGCCGCCGGCGGCACCGCTCCCCTTTGCCGCCGTCGGCTCTACCTCCTTCCCACTCTCCCGTCCTTCTCCTAGCCTCCCTCCTCTCTCTCTCTCTCTCAATACTTTTTTCTACCTTTCATACTACCTTCCATGTTCTTGTTCCGAATCTGGGTTCCCAAGCCGCTGATGCGCCCCTTCCCTGATTCTTCTGATGGAACTAGGGGAGGCTGTGTGGCCATTTTTCCCGTTGGAGGGTTTCGTCTAGATCTGTCGGGTGTGGGACATGCGGATTGCAGGTGCTGTCGGTTGTGTTGGCGGCGGCGGGTCCTGCCGGGATAGTTGGCCGCCGACGGCCGCTTGGCTGTTGGGTTGCACGGTGTGTGCTGGCTGGTAGCGAGGATGGTTTTAGGGTGTTGGGCGAAAGCTCTGTCCGACTCATAGCCGGCCTGACGGCGATGAACGTCCTTGGACATCATGCAATGCCCCTCCTGGAGGCGTCGTCGCAAGAGCATCTCCAGTAGAGACCCTAAATACAATTCCTAAACAGTTTTTAGGTGCTAAGGACAAAAAATAAACTCCAGCAAAACCCATACTACAGGTCCTAAAATAGGAAGGACCTCAAATACCCCTCCGCAGTCCCTAGGCCTGGGGGCTGTAGACCGAGGCCCTATCGCCGTTTTTCTACGCGGGAGGAAATTTCCTGACGTGTGGTGTCTGTCTTCCCTCCCGCGGAATCGCTGCCACGGCGCCGATCTTCGCCAGCTCGCTGGTTCCGCCGCTCGTGGCCGACGGTGCGACCATCCAGTACCTCCACCGGCCACTGCTTGTCGTCCGCGTGCCCGCTTGCTTGTTTTTTCGTGGTCCTTGATCAGTTCGCACACTGATGCACTATATGGTAGACAAGAATGTTCTGAAATTCATGACCATCAGAAACATGTTCTAAACAATCCTGCTCTCGATTGGTTTATGGCTAACTGTGGTTCTAAACGATCATGGCATAAAAATTATTGTTCTGTTCCTTTAAAGTTTGTGGTGCTTGGTAGGTTGAGACAATTAGGCTGCTTGCAATTATGCAGTAGTTCCTTCAAAGATTATTCTGCAGTGTTGTTCTTTTGTGTCAGTTGTGAGTTGAAGTTTAACTTCAAGGTTTTTTTTTTCTAGGAGGATTTAAGCTCTTTCTGAAGTTTCTCAGATAGATTAGATTGGAAAAGGTATAGAGTTAATTTTATCTATTGATTATAGTTCTTATTTAATTGAACTACGTAGTGTCTTGAATACTTGCCGGTAGGATTTCACTCCCATGTTTGAGAATTTTGAATTTGAATTATGGTATTTAAAATTATGGATTTGAATACAATTGAATTCTATACATTAGAAATATTCGTATTTGAATTATTACTATGTTAAACTAGGTGTAAGCATAGAGTATAATCAGAAATACAAGAGAAAAAGAAATGGGGGCTAAGAAATAGGGTCTGCTGGTAGAGTTGGAGGTAATTTTTGAATTCTTAGAAAATAGGGACAGCCCTCATTCAACCTTTGAGGACTCTAAAATAGGGACTACTGCTGGAGATGCTCTAACACCCTGTTCCCCCTTGCTGCTGGGTGAAAACCCTTTCCAGTCTCCTGTTTATGCGATGGTGGCGTCCTTTCCGACGTCGTCACCTTCTTCAAGGCATCGTTTTTGGAGAAACCCTGCAACCAGTCCCCCTGCTTTCCCATCCTTCTCCCCTATTCCATCCCCTCCTCCTCCCCTTTTCTTCTGTCAAGGGCTCCTATGCTTGGAAACTCTCATGTATCTCTTCTCTGTAATATATTCAGGTGGGGAAATGTTGGATTTTTATTGATTGGAATACTGTATTGGGTCATCTCGGTGACACCAAAGCTGTACTTTGGTGGAGTAGCAATCTTTGCCCTTATTGACCGGATAGGATTTTGGTTAAATTTATCTACGTTTTTGTTTGCGGTTCATCTTTTTTCCTACCAGTCTTATACAAGATGGTACAGTTTAGCAACTGATTGTTACATTGCAATATATAAATCGAAGTGATAGAAGCCACCTCAAGTAAATCTAACTATTGTTCATAATTCAAAGGTCAAGACCAATTTCTCAGTTCCTGCGACTGCGCGAAAAAACAAAACCATGGTGACTGTTGTGGAGGAGGTCGACCACCTTCCTATATATGATCTGGACCCTAAGTTGGAGGAATTCAAGGATCACTTCAACTATAGGATAAAAAGATACCTCGACCAGAAATGCCTGATTGAAAAACATGAGGGGGGCCTTGAAGAATTTTCTAAAGGTTAAGTTCACTACTTCAATTTAATGCACAAATACTCCTTCATACAAGAGTCGGCATATGCTATTTTCTTTGCATCTTTTAACTCTTTATGGTTCTCTCATTCCATCTTTTGTAGGCTATTTGAAGTTTGGGATTAATACAGTTGATGGTGCCACAATATATCGTGAATGGGCGCCTGCTGCACAGTAAGTTCTAATGTAGTCATCCAGCTATTCGCTAATGTTTATGTGTTGTAGGAAATATGGATCACTGATCAAGTTGTTTAAGTACCACTTCTTCATTTTATTTTCAATACTATGCTTTGTCTGGTAGCAGCTAGCAGAAAGTTAATTTTACAACATAAGATAGCTCCTCACCGCCGGTAATAGAGATGTTTTGAGTTTTCACTCATAGCACGTCTTGGCTGTTTAAGGTAAGTATCGGGGGTAGAACATAATGCCATGAAGAGAGAAAATTATGTTATCTGTGTCCGATTGTAGTTGGTTCTGAACTTGTGAGGCTGTGATTTCTTAATTGTCGTTTTTGTTAAGACCTTACCAGTATTTGCAATATTTAATGCATTTTTTTGCGGGGAAATATTCAATGCATTTAACTTGGAGGTTTTTCTTCATGCATATAGAGAAGCACAGCTCATTGGTGAGTTCAATAACTGGAATGGTGCAAAACACAAGATGGAGAAGGATAAATTTGGCATTTGGTCAATCAAGATTTCACATGTCAATGGGAAGCCTGCCATCCCTCACAATTCCAAGGTTAAATTTCGCTTTAGGCATGGGGGTGGAGCATGGGTTGATCGTATTCCCGCATGGATTCGTTATGCAACTTTTGATGCCTCTAAATTTGGAGCTCCATATGATGGTGTACACTGGGATCCTCCAGCCTGTGAAAGGTCCTCTACTTGTGCCTTGAACTACAATGTAAACAAGCTTCAAATATTTGGGAAGCATAAAGACGCAAAGCTTTGCTGACATGATCACTGTTACTGTTTACCTTACAGGTACGTGTTTAAGCATCCTCGACCTCCAAAACCTGATGCTCCACGCATCTATGAGGCTCATGTGGGGATGAGTGGTGAAGAGCCAGAAGTAAGCACATACAGAGAATTTGCAGACAATGTGTTACCACGCATACGGGCAAATAACTACAACACAGTTCAGTTAATGGCAATCATGGAACATTCCTACTATGCTTCTTTTGGGTATCACGTGACAAATTTTTTCGCAGTCAGCAGCAGATCAGGAACACCAGAGGATCTGAAATATCTTGTTGACAAGGCACATAGTTTAGGATTACGAGTTCTGATGGATGTTGTCCATAGCCATGCGAGTAATAATGTGACCGATGGTCTAAATGGCTATGACGTTGGACAAAACACTCATGAGTCTTATTTTCATACAGGAGATAGGGGCTACCATAAACTCTGGGATAGTCGTCTGTTCAACTATGCCAATTGGGAGGTCTTAAGATTTCTTCTTTCTAATTTGAGATATTGGATGGACGAATTCATGTTTGATGGCTTCCGATTTGATGGGGTTACATCAATGCTATACCATCACCATGGTATCAATAAGGGATTTACTGGAAACTACAAGGAGTATTTCAGTTTGGATACCGATGTGGATGCAATTGTTTACATGATGCTCGCAAACCATTTAATGCATAAACTCTTGCCGGAAGCAACTATTGTTGCTGAAGATGTTTCGGGCATGCCAGTGCTTTGTCGGCCAGTTGATGAAGGTGGAGTAGGGTTTGACTTCCGCCTGGCAATGGCCATTCCTGATAGATGGATTGACTACCTGAAGAACAAAGAGGACCGCAAATGGTCAATGAGTGAAATAGTGCAAACTTTGACTAACAGGAGATATACAGAAAAATGCATTGCCTATGCCGAGAGCCATGATCAGGTATAGTTATCCATTATCTAACAGATGATCAGGTATAGTTGGGTGGTAATACACTTGTTTGACTTGGTAGACAAATCAACACTTAGCTGATGGCTCTGAATACTTTGATATCGCATAATCCTGTAGGTTATCAAATTGCTACTCTATTTTTTGATAGCTATTGACAGTAAGCAGGTTCCTTTTTTCACTATGAATAGTAACAATGTATAAGGGCCTTACAACCATTATCCAATAATTAGCTGCAGCATGCTGTTAGCTTCATGTTCTTATGTCGAGACAGTTACTGAATTGCTGATTTTACACATTTTTCAGTCCATTGTTGGTGACAAGACTATAGCATTTCTCTTGATGGACAAGGAAATGTACACTGGCATGTCAGACTTGCAGCCTGCTTCACCTACCATCAACCGTGGCATTGCACTCCAAAAGGTTATTTTCCCCTTAATTGTTGTTGATTTCATGGTGCTAGTTCTAGACAATTGTTGTAATGTCCATAGATTTACTAAAATTTCTGGTCGTTATTTGAATACAATGTGTCCTGGCCTCTTTTAATATTATTTGGCTAATTGTGCTTCAAATATTTCAGATGATTCACTTCATTACGATGGCCCTTGGAGGTGATGGCTACTTAAATTTTATGGGCAATGAGGTAATATCTTAGTAATATGTTGAAACTCGCTTCCTGTTAATGCGTTCCTTGAATGTTGATTCCTTTGCATTCTCTTTCCTTTGTGTGGGTAAAGTGAGGCACATAAAGGGTTAGCCCGCTGTTCTTAAGATGCCCAAGTACTTGGCAGCTAATTTTTAACATACATAAACTGAAGCATTGTTATCTTTGTGCATGATGTGTTCTGTTATTCCTGGTCATCCACTAATCCAAATCATACATAAACTGAAATCACACACATGATTTATATTGATATTTTCTCTTGAGTAGCACAAACATGATATAGTGGTATTATCAAGTCTTATGCTACATATAAAATGAGTTCCTTGCACAACATGGGCTATATGTACGGCATAGCTGCTGTGTCTGGGGTTCTTGTATGTCTTTCCAACTCATATTGATTCTGCAATTTCCTTTTAGTTTGGCCATCCAGAATGGATTGACTTTCCAAGAGAAGGCAACAACTGGAGCTATGATAAATGCAGACGTCAGTGGAGCCTTGTCGACACTGATCACCTTCGATACAAGGTTGTGCCTAAGTATATCAATGTATTTTACATGTTTTGTCATGGCAGCACCTTTTGGTTGTTTGCCATCATCACCTCCCTTTTGGTTCAATGTTCTTGCTATTTACAGTGGGCTCCTATTCACTTTGGAATCGAGTTCAAATTTCCTGTGCAGCACATTATTTCAATCCTTTCCTATTAGCATAAAATGTTTCCTTAGGCTACCTACAGTTTCTTTGATGTTCACACAGAATTGATGTGGGCATGCATTTTCCATGCATAAATCGGAACGGCATGTTCTGAAAAATTATTCTAAAGATAAAGGACGAATGCCAAGGACCCTGTCCATTTGTTCAAATGTAGTTCTTTCTCTGCATAAAACAATTTATCCTTATGAATTATTCGTATTTTCCCCAGCATTCTCTGCAGTCAAGCTCTGCAATTTGTCTCACCTAACATGTCTAATTTTTAATTGCACCAATATTGAACAGTATATGAATGCATTTGATCAAGCAATGAATGCACTCGAGGAGGAATTTTCCTTCCTGTCATCATCAAAGCAGATTGTTAGCGACATGAACGAGAAAGATAAGGTAATGGCAATTGTAATTTAGTATGGGCCCTTGTTGCTTGTATGTCCTATGTATTCAAATGAGGTGAGTTGTTCAGGAAAGCACGGCACGAAATTCTAGCTATGTGGTGAGAACAATTAATTTCTTAAAATACAACTGTACAATTAACTCCAAGTTCCTTTTCAGGTTATTGTCTTTGAACGTGGAGATTTGGTTTTTGTTTTCAATTTTCATCCCAACAAAACTTACAAGGGGTAACTAATTCATTTTAAGCTTTGCCTTTTGAAAATACTCTGTTCAGTACTTAATATAATCTCCACTTGCAAAATGTGCAGTTACAAAGTCGGATGTGACTTGCCCGGGAAGTACAGAGTAGCTCTGGACTCTGATGCTTTGGTCTTTGGTGGCCATGGAAGAGTAAGCAGCGACGGCAAATGCTCAAAATATTTTTGCACTCTTTCTCCTAAACTATTGAGGCACCACCAAATTTGCATCAGATAACTTATTTGCAGTATTGATCTTGTTGTACCACAGGTTGGCCATGATGTGGATCACTTCACGTCTCCCGAGGGAATGCCAGGAGTACCAGAAACAAATTTCAACAACCGCCCTAACTCATTCAAAGTCCTTTCCCCGCCCCGTACCTGTGTGGTAAAGTCCATTCACTGAAATTTTCATAACTAATGAGCCATAACCAACTGCAATGCAACCTCACAAAATGCTTCACTATCAGGCTTACTATCGCGTTGATGAAGATCGTGAAGAGCTCAGGAGGGGTGGAGCAGTTGCTTCTGGAAAGATTGTTACAGAGTATATCGATGTTGAAGCAACAAGTGGGGAGACTATCTCTGGTGGCTGGAAGGGCTCCGAGAAGGACGATTGTGGCAAGAAAGGGATGAAGTTTGTGTTTCGGTCTTCTGACGAAGACTGCAAATGAAGCATCAGATTTCTTGATCAGGAGCAACTGTTGGTGCCCTTGTAATCTGGAGATCCTGGCTTGCCTTGGACTTGGTTGTGGTTCTTTAGCAGTTGCTATGTACCTATCTATGATATGAACTTTATGTATAGTTCGCCTTAAAGAAAGAATAAGCAGTGATGATGTGGCCTTAAACCTGAGCTGCACAAGCCTAATGTAAAAATAAAGTTTCAGGCTTTCATCCAGAATAAAACAGCTGTTCATTTACCATCTCTGTTTCCTGTAACATGATGGATACATTGAAATTGCAGAAGTTTCTATTGGACATATAAGCATAGACCGAAGAACTGAGGAAGAAGGTTCACTCCCTGTTTATTTTTCTCATATCTCAGGAGCAGGCTTTGCTTTTAGCTTGGAGATGAGCACTCACACTGACTGACTCAGGTGCATCATGGTGTCACTGTGATAGACTGACACACATAGTATGTGACATACTACATCTTTTCATGCCTCATTTTTTCCTCCAATTCATATGTCAGCTAACGACTTCTTTTTCCAGGTCTTCCCAAAAGGAAAAATGGTATCATCATTCAGAGCACTGATGCGCACTCACACAATGACACAAAACACAACCACAGCCTCAAGAGTCACAATGTGTGCTTCTCGCAAGACTTGGACCATTTCAAAGTACAACCATGGACAGCTGCTGCTTCTCTTCTTCCTCTTCTTCTTGTGGTGATTGGTGAGAGGGAGGCTGCAATGCTTGCACAATATGCAATTCCATGGACTTGACTTGAGGAGATAAACGACGACTTGTGTAGGATTGGATTTGGATTGGAGAGCCCATCAAAGAACTGGTCCAAGTGAAATGTAAATGCGTGAAAACCTCTCCTTATCTCTCGTTCTATACCTTGTTGTATGTGTACTGACGCTCCTTTAAAATGTTAATTCATCCTCTTGATTTTTCTAACTACTACGGCTGTACAGCTTGTGTCTCCTAGCACCAGACAAGTAAGTACATGCGACTTGTCAATTGCCATAGTACCAAAATATATTACGTCACTCTTTAATTAATTCCTTGTGTGGTATTTTGTCATGTGTTTCCTTATAGCCATATGGGCAACCTTTTTGCCTTTAATGCCTGATGAATATGATGGCTGCGCAATATTAGCATCACTGAGAAACTGAAAAATTCAGACTTCAGAAAAGATGACACTTTGGCGTTCAGACTTCAGAATTTCAGATGATACTGCTACTATTTTAGTGGTTAAATGATAATATTGTTAACCTGATGGATGCATCACCATACCTACCTATGAATGAATATTCATCTTCCATTCAGTTTCCCTTCTTGGTTCCAAAAGGAAAGGCTTACCTTTTCGAGTAGAATTTCCAAGCCAGGTTGCTTCCCATGAAGATACATAAGAATTCAATCACTTTAGCCCTTTCTCTGATTTCAACACGCACTGATTGCACTCACCTATAGCTAGGGAGGCGAATGCTAAGATACCTGAAAAATGAATCCACTTTAGCTAGCAAGCCATTCTTTTCTTTTTCTTTTATGCCGCAACAGCCGCCAAAACTATCAGCAGCAATGATTTTCCACTAGGAAATTAATATCGTCAAAAAAGAATAATCTCAGGAGACTTGGAATAATTCAACACGGTTTTGAGAGAGAGAAAGGGAAAGACTTGAAGAAATGGGAAAAGAGTTGGAGATATCTGAAGAGAGCACTATCAGGAGGACCTCACCAGCATGTCGTCTTCTTGGAATTTCTTGTGGAAGTCATGACCTCAAACACGACTAATGGACACACAAATCATCAATTAGGGGTCGAATCATTTGTGCTATTGCAATCTTGTTGAAAATACGTGGATCATAGTGGAACTTAAACATGTACAGTACTACTTAAATGGTCCAGCCATTCACTCTTGAAACACTTATTACGTTTTACCAGTTCAAAGTATTATGTCAAAGTAAAGCCATCCATATCAAAGCTAGGAACCCCACAAGCGAATGCGAAACACCCTTCAGTTACTTATCTCTACACAGCTGTTAACAGTATTATGGTTTATGAGCTGGCTTGTTTGGTCATATTCAGAACAGTGCTAAGCCAAATTCACTTCATCAGGGAAAATTCTCTTATTAACAATACATAATGTTCCTGAAAAATGAACAGAAGGTGTCAAGTTAGAAATGTGTACAGGGCTATTAATTGGTGGGAAATTAATAACTTGTAAAAAAAAAGAATTTATTGGTGCATATATAACAATTAGTTAACATAGAGAAACGCCTAGGGATATTTGTGGAGCTAACCGGTCTAGATTCGAAGCCTTATATTTTTTTTATATTAGATTCTTTCTTAATATTCGTTTTTTTTTACAATCAGTTATATGGGTCAGGAATGGTTTTTCTAATAAATTATACTACCTGGGGAGTCATCATATATAGGTGGTTTCTCTCCGCATCCTTTTGAAAGCGACGTCCACCCAATTTTGTACAGAAGCGATACATCGATCTTCGCATTATCTCATCACAAAGCTTGACTAATATATTGTCTAATTACGATAACTCTATACTTAATTAGTGTGCTACCACTGGACCAAGTCTTCTCAGCACTTTGCAGGCTTGCAGCCACTCACTTGTCCCTCGCATTCACTATCAAGATGTTTTATGTTTTTTTTTTGAGCAATTTTACGGTTCTTGAGAAGGTACCATGAGGTACCATTTTTTCTATTGTAAATTTAGTACCTCTTAGTATCTAGATACTATGAGGTACCATGAGGTACCAAATTTTACACTAAATTTTTGGTACCTCATGATACCTCCTCAAGAACCATAGAATTGCTCTTTTTTTTATCCTCCAGTGCCTGCAATTGCAACAGTTTTTCAATCTCCAATGCGTGTCCAGGATTAATCAGTCAAGCACTAGCAGGAATGAGCTTTAACGACTGGGTAGTAATTTAAGCGTACTTTGCCAGATATTTTACTTGTCATGTAAAGTAGTAGTATTACTAAATTAAAAAGTGTGCTTATCATTTTTTATATTAGGAGCATATCTAATTGCTCTAATTGAATTCGATCAGTGTGATTGATGCTATATATAGAGAAGTACTACTACAACAGTAATTAAATATCTGCATTTACAATTTGTTACCTAGTTTTTTTTATTGATTTGCTTTTATCTAGTACTAGCTTTTTAAATCGCGCTTGAGGGAAATTGTTCCACTGTATATTTTTGGGCAAAGTCCATTGAGCAAAATGTAGTGGAATTTTAACAGGGAACACAAGCACAAGAAAGACAGAAAACCTAACCCTACAAATTTCCTTTTGGTACGATTTGCAACAGGCTTTGGACATCAACTTGCATTAGACCCAGTCCATCCTCTCTTTTCATCGTTGTTTTAGAAAAAAAGGAAAACTTGTCCTCAGCTCTAGCACTAGCATGCCCAAGTCGATGAGGTATGTGCCTTAATTAACTAACATTCAGTCAGTTAGTCACCGGATAGCTACTACTACTAACATGCAATGTAGTAGTATTAAATTAATTTAGTTAATCAGGTAGTGGGCGGCGCAGATTAAAGCAAGAAATTCCGATGTTTGATGAGCTACGCAGCTAGGACAGGATGAGACAGTGAATGGCAGAGTCCAAGTCACACACACTACACTAGAATCGATGTGTCGTCGTCGTACGTTTGTCCAGTAAAAGTCAGCTCTCGCATGACTACGACGATGGAATGGAATGGTGACCACTTGCTTTGCTGCTACAGTACTTCCTACTGTTACATATGTCATCGTCATCTTCTCCAACGCCGGCCTATATATACCAAGCAATTTAACCTCTCCTTCCTCCCCCAACTCATCGGTCGATTAATCTCGCCTACAAACCCATTTACATCCAATACAGCTAGCATCAATACAGAGCTATGGAGCAGCAGCGGAGCAGGTCGACGGCGGCAGGAGGAGAGGTGGAGGTGGAGCAGCTGCCGGGATTCAGGTTCCATCCGACGGAGGAGGAGCTGCTGGAGTTCTACCTGAAGCAGGTGGTGCAGGGGAAGAAGCTCAAGTTCGACATCATCCCCACCGTCCACCTCTACCGCCACGACCCGCGCGAGCTCCCCGGACTCGCCCGCATCGGCGAGCGCGAGTGGTACTTCTTCGTCCCCCGCGACCGCAAGCAGGCCACCGGCGGCGGCGGCGGCGGTAGGCCCAGCCGCACCACGGAGCGCGGCTTCTGGAAGGCCACCGGCTCCGACCGCGCCATCCGCTGCGCCGCCGACCCCAAGCGCCTCATCGGCCTCAAGAAGACGCTCGTCTACTACGAGGGCCGCGCCCCTCGCGGCACCAAGACCGACTGGGTCATGAACGAGTACCGCCTCCCCGACGCCGCCGCCATTCCCGACACCATGCAATTGCAAATGCAACACGACGACATGGTGCTCTGCAAGGTCTACCGGAAGGCGGTCTCCCTCAAGGAGCTGGAGCAGAGGGTCGCCATGGAGGAGCTTGCACGCTCCACCACGTCCTCCGGCACCCACAACACCGGCTCGCCCCTGCAGCAGGACTCCTCCTCCATCTCCATCTCCTCCTCCTCGGACGCCATGAAGAAAGAGGTGGTGGGGGTGGATGAGGCGTCGGCGGCGGCGCATGAGCTGGTCCGCCCGGCGACGCTGAGCCTGCCGCAGCTGGAGGTGGCGAGGCCGCAGAGCGGGCTGGAGTGGATGCAGGAGCCATTCCTGACGCAGCTGCGGAGCCCATGGATGGAGACCTGGTCGCCCTACTACGCCAGCGTCCTCAACTTCTGATTACGTACTCTTACCTCATTAAATCACTGCTATGTACTTAGTAGTTAATTCATTCACAAAGAATTACACTACTACTCTTTCTATGAAATGATCATGATCAGAGAGCTCGATCGATCATCAGTTTATTAATTAATTATGACCCCCGGTGCATGGTTTTGCAGCTTAATTGCACATGTATATAGATCGACAAATCATCTTTTTTGTTCTTTCGTTTTTTAGAACTGAATGTATTTCGCAAAGATGGCAGCACAAATATAAAGCCCAAATAAGCGTAGGCGTTAACAAATGAATGGAAGAATCATATTCGTTTTCGAGGCATATGTATGCTTTTCAATTGCGAGAATTTATGGATTTTGCAGGCAAGCATTTAAACGGTATGATGTTTTTTTTACATCATTTCGTATATCAGTTTATCAGAATACCTTTTTAAAACAACTTTTCAACTTTTATAATAATTATTTCATTTGTTTATACCTTCAAATATTTGTCATAAGTCCCATTGTTTCGCTTATACCTGTACTAAAAAATTTTTATAATCCAATTATCTAATTTCCGTTCCACCACCGCAAATTAGGTACGGGGACTCCCTCAACTATCAAAACCATGTCACGTTGACCTAATTGGTTTGGGCATCAATTTCATCCTACGTGGCACGTTCATTTGATCTTCATCCGCTGCACGGTGAGCATGCACCGCCACAGACCATCTCTCTTTCTGACTCCTTTGTTGTGTGCCGTCAGGCCAGCAATTGCCTTACCTATCCAACCGTTGTGGCACCATCTGGAGAGAGGGACTGACCTACCATTGCCATCGCTCATGAGGGCTCCATCACCTCTTCTCTCTCTTTAGTATTCTCTGACCAAAGGAGCCCACAGAGGACTACCTCAAACCAGCATTTTAGATATAGCCCACAAGGCCTACTTCTCTCCAGAGAAATGCATAAGAACATCGGTTCCCTAGTTTTTAAGGGACCTGATGCAGAGCAAGAGTTAAATGCTTTCAGAAAGGCTATACATCCAGGTTAATATAGTCAAATTAGGGAAAATGGTGCGAATGTATAAACAAGGCCCCCCACTCATCACAATGAACAGTCATGGTCTAAGAAACAAATGGGGATATGGCAAAATCGGTAGAGGGAGTAGCTTGTAGAGCTGGTAAAAAGTGCTGAAGAGAGTAGTTTAGACTTCCGGGATCGAACTTTGGTCTTACAAGGAGGCAATAAATAAATAATTAATTTTTTTTTAATAAGACGAATGGTCAAACACGTACTAAAAAGTTAACGGTGTCAAACATTTTGAAACGGAGGGAGTATATTGTAGCGACAGTTTTACAGTATCGATTTATAAATTTATGGTTACCGTCCCCTTTATATTTTCATGTTGCGCAGTGTGTGCACGTCAAAGATGGAGACTTCGGCCGTGTGCACGTAGCAGATCGAATAGTTGGCGTGCAAACCGAACGAAATGCAAGTCTCTGTCGGCTATCAGAAATCCGTGGAATTCCACGCAATCACGCATGCATTCACATGTCTGTCTCAGTGTCTCTAATGGTAATCGATCGAACGTTCGCACTCGCTAGTAGGAGTTCTCAAACTGGAGAGCGTATCTTGTTTATTATGTAGAAGTATTAATTATTAATAATCGGAAGCACAATATATTTTCCATCAGCCATTGTGGGCATTACTGATGATTGTATTATTTGTCTGCTCGGATGAATTCTTATTCATCGATGTAAAGCATCCGATCAGTGGTTATCAGTGCAAAGCTTGAAGCTAGAACGAGCTATTAGGAGTTGAAAGGCCTCTGGTTGTAGCAGTCCAAGTTGGCGCCGTAGCTGACGCCCAACATGTCGCAGTAGCGCTTGTAGAACCCAATCCGGTCGGCGACTCTGCTGTCCGCGCCGTGGCCGCACTCCACGCCGCCGTTGATGATGTTGGTCACCACGCCGTAGCCCGGCACGCGCCCCGCCGCCTGGTCGTTGCCGTTGGGCGTCCACTGCCCTGTCATCACCGCGTGGCACGACGGCTTGGGCGACTGCGGCGTCATCCAGAACCAGAACGCCGTCTTGAAGGAGACGGTGGCGTCCGACGCCACCAGGTCCGGGTTGCTCAGCAGGTTGGAGCCGATGGCCTGCCCCGCCGGGCCGTAGTTGTAGTTGTAGGAGATCTGGATGGGTCCCCGGCCGTAGTACTTCTTGCCGGCGGCGCACGGCCACTGCGAGCTCTGGACACAGTAGTCGGACCCAACGTTGCCGTTGTTCTCCTCCTTGAAGCAGTAGCCCCACGAGTAGGGGCCATCGGGCGCCGTCGCCCACCCGCCCGTGGTCTCGTGCGACGTCTGCGCCAGGAACGCGGCGACCTCGCGCTTGCGGGTGGCGGCGTCGCCGGTTGTGGCGAAGCTCGGGAAGGCGTTGGCGGCGGCGACGAAGGCGTCGTAGGTGTAGAAGTTCTTGGCCGGGCACGCCGCGTCGTTGCGGTGGAGAAGCATCTGGTCGAAGAGCGAGCGCGACACGATGGAGGCGACGCCGCTGCCGCCACCGCCGGAGGGCGGGGTCGGGCCGCCGCCGCCGCAGCTGCCGGAGCACTGGCTCTGGCAGCCGGAGCCGCAGTAGGCGGAGGTGGATCCGCACCAGCCGTACTGGCTGCAGCAGAGGCAGTTGGGGCAGAGCGCGCCGCCGGCCTGGCTGCCGCACTGCTCGCCGCGCACGGCCACCACCGCAAAGGCCGTGGCCACCACGACCACGGCGAGCGCTCTCATGGTGGCAATGCAAAGCAAAATGGAGTTAGCTTGCTTGCTGCTGAGTTGCAGTGATGTTAAGAAGCGGTGGGAGCGCATGGCTTTATATAAGGAGGGAAGCTAGCTGGTGTGTGCAGTGTTTGGCATCTTTGATATATTTTCAACAACAAATTGCGTTGCCAACTATGCCACGATTAACAGTAACTACTTCAATACTCCACTATTGTATATCCAAATTATTCATGGATGTATATGGTGTTGGTCAAATATGTACTCCGATCAGATCGGATATGATGATCATGAGTTCAGTTACACCGAGAGAAAAGTCACTCAGACTTTCCATTTCCATGGAACGTACGTACTAAGTCTACATCATATGCATGGTGAGCTTTGACGATTGATCAAACTTAGCGGCCGGTCGCATTCGCCACAGCTGACCATGCATGCATCACAGACAGCTAGCTATGTATACGGCCGGACGATGTGTATATCTCTTGGAATTCTCTTGTTTCCTTTTTCTTCTTCTTCTTCTTCTTCTCGTGTGCAATCAATTAGCCCAATTGTTGCACGCAACAAGCTGCAACAAATACAGTTGCCAAATGCTGAATGCTGCTGATGCTACTTCTGAATATATCTATATATGATGTACTCAACTTACCAGAGCAGATGAAAACTAATCCACAAATTCCACATGACCACAAAATATGCTCAATTTTCAGCTAGCTTCATAAGTTGGTGGGCCAGCCGGCCTGAATTGGAAGTCTCACATATTCTATTAGGCTGTTTTAGTGCTAGTTTTAGTGCTAGTTTCCAATTTTTACTTCTAGTTTTTACCATGCACGTTTTTCAAAATACTAAACGGTATGTCTTTTACAAAATATTATATAAAAAGTTATTTAAAAATACATATTAATCTTTTTTTAACTTTTTAGCTACTTAATTAATTATGTGCTAATCCGCAGAGGCGTATCTAGGATTTAATATATGGGTGGTCCAACCTAAATTTTTTTTTCTAAATACCGTAGATCTAACAATGCTATTATATACAATAGATAATAGAATATACACCATCATATATTAATAACCCATCTTAAAACATATAAAATTAGTGATTAAGCAAAATTTTGACTTGAAGGAAGCTTATATGCTTAAAAAAGGTTGAACCATACGAGCTAAACTAAACTGCGCCTAACAATGAATGATAAGAATGTCACAAAAGTTGGATGCAGCACAGGAATCAGGCGATCAGCACCTAAACGTGACACCTGCTCATCTCCAATAAAGCGTGAAAAATCAAAGAGTTATAAATACCTCTTCGCCGTTGCCGGCGGCAGTCGACATCTAGAAGCGCCGAGAGCGCCTTCATCTCGGCCTCCTAGCGCCCATCTGCGCGCGACGTACGCGATGTACATCCTTCCCATCCGGAGTCGGAGACGCAGGCCGGCCGGGCACGCGACACGGACAGCGGTGAGCGGCGGGAGAGTAGCCGGCTACCGGCGTGGCGGCGGTCGGCGCTCGCGGCGGATATACAGTAGGGTTGATCGCAACTTTTTTGGGTACGCCCCTGCTAATCCGTTGTTCCTTTTTACGTGTGTGAAGGGTAATTAGTTTGGAAAACAGCTCTTAGAGCAAGGATAATGGTGAGCTATAAGTAAGCTAAATGCTTATGTGGAAGAGAGAGATAAACAAAAGTGGAGAGTATTGGCTTTCATGCAAGAGCTAGCTCCACACAAACTCCAAGAAATATACATTAAATTCATAGAGAGATAAAGAGAGAGGATGAAAAAAATAAAGCTAACCTTATAGCTAACATATATACTATTATATATGTTAGATTTAACATTGGCTTATAGTACATTAATTTATTTACTAGTACAGTAAGCGCTCTCTCATGCATGGTGGCTTGTGGCAATTCAATTATGCAAAGCAAATGAAGTTAACTAGTGAGTTGCTGCGGTTCGTGCAAGAAAAGGTGGGGACCACATGGCTTTATAATCTACTCTAAAGTTTAACATGCAACCATGCCACATTATTACCCACTAACAATAATTACTTATTCAACCTCATGCAAACATGCAAGAACATCTACAATCTATTTAATTCTATAAATTAACATGCAAGCATATTCAATCATCACCTCTAACATCATTTCCACAATAGTTTTACAAATCTCTCTATCATTTTTATAATATTTAACATATACTTATCAATATATTCTATATTAAAGTGCAAATTTCATTTGTTTCATGATAAATATTGATAAACCCTGAGATTTTGATTATTTTTTTTCTTTTTACTTCTAGCTGAACTGTAATGAAAAATAATATTGAAAATTACTTATAAATTCCCGCGTTATATAGGGGATTAGTGGAGGGGAAAAGTGTTGTGTTGTGTTGCCAACAGATTTCAACCTGCTATCATTGAAGAATGACAATGGATGCAAAGCGATCAACTCATCATCTTCGACCGCATTGTGTTAACGTCCATGGTATTGTCAGGTGAAAAAAAAGGGTATAAGTCACCTTTAAATAAGAAGAATGATCAAATCTTTGTTTTAGAGATATGTATTAAAATTCAGAGGTAGTATATGTTTTTCACGAGTCTCACAATCTCGTGTGCATTGTATTTTATTCGTCTGCTCGGATCAAATATCAACTAGGAAGGCGGGTAGGGCCTCTGGTTGTAGCAATCCAGGTTATCGCCATAGCTGACGCCCAGCATGTCGCAGTAGCGCTTGTAGAACCCGATCCGGTCGGCCACCTTGTCGTCCGCGCCGTGCCCGCACTCCACACCGCCGTTGATGATGTTGGTGATCTCGCCGTAGCCCGGAACGCGCCCCGCCGCCTGGTCGTCGGCGGACGGCGTCCACTGGCCGGTGATCACCGCGTGGCACGACGGCTTGGGCGACTGCGGCGTCATCCAGAACCAGAACGCCGTCTTGAAGGAGACGGTGGCGTCCGACGCCACCAGGTCCGGGTTGTTGAGCAGGTCGGAGCCGATGGCCTGCCCCGCCGGGCCGTAGTTGTAGTTGTAGGTGATCTGGATGGGTCCCCGGCCGTAGTACTTCTTGCCGGCGGCGCACGGCCACTCCGGCTTGGGCTCGCAGTATGTGGGGGCGTTGCCGTTGTTCTCCTCCTTGAAGCAGTAGCCCCAGGAGTAGGGGCCGTCGGGCGCCGTGGGCCAGCCGCCGGTGGTCTCGTGGGACGTCTGCGCCAGGAAGGCGGCGACCTCGCGCTTGCAGGTGTCGGCGTCGCCGGTGGTGGCGAAGTCCGGGTAGGCGTTGGCGGCGGCGACGAAGGCGTCGTAGGTGTAGAAGCCCTTAGCGGCGCACGCCTGGTCGTTGCGGTGGAGCAGCATCTGGTCGAAGAGCGAGGGCGATATGATGGAGGCGACGCCGCTGCCGCCACCGCTGGAGGGCGGGGTCGGGCCGCCGCCGCAGCCGCCGGAGCACTGGCTCTGGCAGCCGGCGCCGCAGTAATCGGAGGTGGAGCCGCACCAGCCGTACTGGCTGCAGCAGAGGCAGTTGGGGCAGAGCGCGCCGCCGGCCTGGCTGCCGCACTGCTCGCCGCGCACGGCCACCACCGCCATGGCCACCACCGCGAGAGCGAGAGCTCTCATGGCGGCCGGCAATGTGATGCAATGCAAATTAAGCTAGTTTGTTTGGTATGATAGAAGTAGAAGTAGCTAGTGTGTGTGCAAGAATCGGTGGGATCGCATGGCTTTATATAGAGATGGATATGCATGGTGCATCGATCTTCAGCAACGAATTGAAATGCATTCGCATTACCAAAGTTTCCACGATTAACAAGTACTACTATATCCTTCCATGCATGCATCTACTAGTATTGTCTAGCCGTCGTGGATATATTGTGTTGGTCAAATTTGTCTCCTGCCTCCAATCCGTTCAGTTATTTAGAAAAAGTAAGTTTCCAGAGATATTTCCACGTTGACCGTGGAGGCGTGGATGCCATGCATGCACCATATATAATTGAAATGTGTACACGCTAGCTCGCTAACAAAGGCAAAGGGTTGACGATTGATAGATTGATCTCAGATCGACCGAACTTATCATAGACCAGCTGCAATCCACATATATGGAGCTGGCGTGCTACAAACAACCAGCGACGACCAAATAAGTTTGACCCGGCCGGGGTCTATACGGTACGAAAACCTCTTTAAAAATCTTGTAAATTTTAGACCATTCGATTGCTTTAAGATTTATGTAGGCAACAAAACAATATAATATCACCTAGCTCCCTTCTTCTGTTTTCTCGTGCAATCAATCCAACAACGATTTTGCTATAATTATGACGAAAATTTTCATGAGATTACAGTCGATTTTTGGTTCAATAGATTTTCGCCTAGATTCATGTCGCTAAAGTAGCTCTCCTGTGTGCCATGCCCAGTGATTTTGCCCAAGATATCGTCAATTTTATACATATTGTTTAGACAAAGAGGGACATGCATAACTATTTAATTACCCATCGTGTCAGGCCAGGGGCGGACACACTCATTAGGCGGCCTGGGGCGGCCGGCCCAGCTACAGCCTACGTCGCCCCACACTCCCGACCCGACTCCTCTTCTGCTTCTTGGTCTAGGCCTAGACCGCATATTATCTAGTACATACCATCGATCCAGCCAACTGATCAGTTATTCCAGCCTTTCAAGCATAACGAATTGATTGATCTCGATTCATCTTCCGCAGTCCACACTCGCAGCATCGCATCTTTGGCATTGTCAGTTCGTCTTCTCGCTCAATCCACTAAGCCTTGATGCAACACTGGAACCACGGTCCAAGGCAGCGAGCTTGCGCTGTGCATAGGCGCGGTTGTGTGCCTCGACGAATGTGCCATTGTTGCAGCACGACAGCAGTGCGCTGGCGCCAACAGCCTAGCCAAACAGATTGCAGCTGTTGCTGCAAGAAGCACCTCAACAGACCCAGTGCTAGCGGCTGGATATGTATTACACCTCATGCTTGATATGTATTGCAATTGGAATATATTGATTGCACATTATTTTTGTGCAATTGCAATATAAATATGATAGGGTTCTAGGATTCAATTGCATAAGAATTTCGGGACCTACTAAAATAGACAGATTTTAACCAAATTTTACCAAACACCATAAACTATGGGCGAAACAGGAGGTCATGTCTTGGGCCTCATCGAAATAGACGAATTTCGGAGCATTTGGTATGAATTCCAAAACCTTATATGATATGTGTTGCAATTAGCTGTTTTAATCGAGTGTATCCGCCCCATCTATATTTTAGGGTTCCGTCCGGCTGAAGCATCATGAGCAAGAAAGATTTACTTCTAGTGATGTAAATACTGCTAGCTTTGCATGTTTTGATTAAAAGTATATTATAATTACATATTAATTGGAGATTTTATTAAAAAAGAAAGTTAAAGTCCACTCTTCTGCCCCGCGCCAAAAAGAAAATAATTAATATGAGCCAAGCAGGCAAAGCACGCACATGCACTTTGGCGCTACGCAGGCTAGCCGAATGCATGTGGGCTTCACACCCTCATATGTGCCGCACGTACATTCAGGTATTAAGCGTTATTAGTAGACTTTCTTAGTTTCTGGTAGCTAAGTAGTTACTAATAGCATTTTACATAGTATTATCTTGCGTGTATTTAAAAAGTTTATATCACACATTTAGGTAACTAGAACATTTTTCTCGAAAGTGCTATTTACAGGCATGGGTAAATGATATTTTTTTCAAAGAACATAAACAACTACGATAAAAGTTCTAAGTACATGAAGAATATACCAACTGCTAGCTAGTTTAAGGGCAAAAATAGTCTCCTATTAGGAAGAAAAGAGGTACTTCCTAAACGTTCACAAGTGATGGTGAAGATTATTGTTTTCTTAGAGAAGGGTATTTTTTATCCTGCCTCTACGTACATCCAACCGGATATATATATATATATATATATATATATATATAATATATATATATATATACGGCCATTGAAATAGGGAACTTAGCCCCGTAAACAACTCAATCTAACTCAATCTAAAATTCGCTCCATAGAAGATTTAAACTCAGAACTTTGAGGTACTACTCAGGTCACTGTAACCACTAGGTTACATGACTTTTTGTTGGTGAAGATTATTGTTATTTGAATGGGGAAGGTCTACACATAGTTTCACGAGAAAATTGATGTAGATTCTCTACTCCAAAAGCCAAAAGATAAAACAAGACTGTAGTAAACTCTACTCTTCTCTTGACGTCGAGTTCAAAGGTCGACTCATGTCGGTCGACACCAAGAACAAAAGTTCAGAAGTGCCAGGGACGACAATATACGTACTGCACTGTGCAATGTTCAATTGACTCAGGCTAAGATGATTTTTTTTAAAAAAAAGTAAATTATTTTCTCAAAGGTGAAACTGAAAACCAGGATGGTTACTACAAAACTGTGGGTACAACCACAAATCCTGAACGTTCGTTTATCGGTTGAACGGCCATGATGATGTTACTTCTTCAGGTTTTAATGACCTTAATTTCATGGTGAAAAACAATGTAGCTAGGATGCTGAAAATTTTGTGATAGTAAATGGAGATTTAGAAAATCACCTAGCGTATCAATCAACTTTTGATACGATCGATCGATCTTTGCACCAATATACTTGAACTGTTCTTGCAAAACAGAACTGAAAACATAGGACATAGCTTGAACTGTTGTCAAACAGGTTCGATATACCTTTTTTTTTACATTCATATAAAATGTGGGAAACACACATTCCCCCAAGTCACCCACAAATTATGATCATATATAGATTTGGAGGCTTAAACACGCACATATATGATACATGTCGCAATCTTTGTTAATTTATTTTTCTTCTCGATGGATCGAGCTTACAGATTAAAAGTCCCGACAGAACCAAAAGTCAAAGTGAAACCAAAAGCCAAAGAGAGACATATGTGCACATGCTTAATGCATGGAGCCTCTAGAGTTGGCAAGCTAGCTAGCTACAGACCATCACAAACACAGACCCACGCAACGCAAGCACAAGCACAGCAGGTCGATCGACCGACCGGACGAACCCTAAGCCTCTTAATTTCTTGATCTCTACCTAATTCTTCACCTCCTCATATGAGAAATTTTACGGTTCTTAATAAGTATCTTGAGATATCTAAATTCTTAAGATACTTTGCTTCTTCTTCCTCTTGCGCCGCCTGGATCGCCTCCAGTGACAGATCGTTGAGATCAAAGTCGTCGTTCTTGGGCGGCTTGGAGGTGGCCGAGGCCACCTCCATGGCAAGCTGCTTGGCATCCCTTCTTGCTGCTGTGATTGGCACGGGTGGTGGGTACAGCTGCTAGGTAGCGTCACTCCAACTATGCTAGCTGCTGTAATGGGCCTACTCATCGTCGTCTACACGTGTACAAGTACCTGCAGCTAGCTACCGGCCGATATCTATGATACCAAAACATGCGTTACATGAGTCCACTCGCCGGCCGTCGATCTCTTGCTCTCTCCCCTTTGACAATATAAGAAAAATTAACAATATAGAACATGGTGACATCACCAAAATCCAACTTCAAATTTAACCTACACACTGAAAAAAAAGACACATTCAGGTATGATTATATCGCAAATGTGTGAGTTGAGTTTTTTTTTTCGAACGGTCATGTGAGTCGAATTTGGATATAGGACTTTATGAAGTGCTATATATATGTTGTATGAGTATTGTCATTTTTTTAGGAAAACTGTCAAAACCATTTGAATGATTTTTATATTCATTCGAGGGTTTATAACGGTTTTCTGTAGGAAGGGTCGTGTAGCCTTCACCATATATTTGCCTTACTGATATTCATTGGCACTGACGCATTCATTATATTCTTTTATTGTTTTGATTAGGCACCATAAGCATGAATGTTGCAACTCCATGAGAGGACGATCATCCATATATTTCCATCAAACTGCAATTTTGTTCACGTGATATTAATATAAGATATATGGTAGAGTAATATTTTTGAAAGGACCTTGATGTCGCCTAGAGGGGGTGAATAGGCGATTTTTAAAATAAATGCGGAAGCTAAAACAAAATAGGGTCAGATTATCTGATATCAGGTTGGATAGTCCTATGTGATCGGATAGTCTGAACTGAGATCAGACTATCTGACCTGCACAACAACAAAACAAACAAGAGAACAACCTAAGAGATCTAGATTCAATCCACAAGCAAAGAGGTGAGCTCAATCAACAACAATATTAGCATGGCACAAAGCAATGCAACAAGAAGGTAAAGGGAGTGAGGATATCACCGAGGTTTATGCGCCGATGTATTTCCCGGAGTTCAAATCCTTGAGGGGATTCTAGTCTCCGTTGAGGGGCTCGCAAAGAGCCGGGTCTTTTTCAACCCTATCCTCGTGAGGTTGCACAAATGCACTCCTCCTTCCACTAAGGGTATATCTTTCCTTGCGGAGGCGAGATCCGGCCTTCACAAACTTCTCTTGGCCAACCACACGTAGATCGGTGGCCCAAGAACGACACCTAGCCGTCTAGGAGTCCTCAACCTCCAAGAGTAATAAACACCACACTACTCTTGGACAAATCCTAGTGCTCAAGATCTAGAGAAACACACACTAGGCTCCCAAACATCAAATCCACACACAAAGATCCAAGTCACAAAGAACAAGGGGGATTTGAGATAGAGAGGGAGAGAGCTCAAAAATCCAAAGCACTTAGCCAAAGCTCAAC